CCCCGCCCCGTCGCCCCCGCGGGCTCACCGCCGGCGCCGCCTGCCCCGCGGGGGGGTAACGGGACGGGACCCGCCGCCCCGGACCGAACGGGAGCCGCCTAGGAGCCGGCGGGGCTGCGGCTGCTCCCTGMTCGCTGGAGTAGCTTTAATTCTCCCGTGTTATTTCAGCTTCAGCCTGGTAACGCACAGGCGGAGGTGCTGTCTGTGCTGCTGCCGTCCGAGCCCCGAGCCCGGCGGGCTGACCCCAGCGCCCCGCCGCAGCCGCGCTTGGCCGCGGTGACAGGGCAGCGTCCCGCCCAAGTCGCCGGTGGGTCCCTCCGCAGTGCTGGGCACGCCGGGGAAGCGCCGGTTCGTCCTCTGCCCACAGCACCTAAGTGCCACCGACASAGAGAGGGAGCGCGATTTGTGCTGTTGTGGTGCTGCTGTGACCGCCCGCCCCGTAYCAGCCCTTCGGGGCTCCTGGAGCACGAGAAAACTCCGTCCTCGCGATCTGCTGTGCTTCCTCGTTTCCTCCTGCACGCCCTCTACTTCTGCCGCTTGAACGAGAGGCGCACACACTTCTCCCTTTCAGATTTCTCCAAGACACAAAGCAGCATCTAAAACTAATAATGACTAGTGAGTCCCGTGTAGGAATTGTGCTTATTCTTGGCAACTACCTGGTTACTGAATTTGACCGTCTGCAGCTGCCAGCGCTGGCCAGTGGGACACTGGCTGCATTGTGAACGCTCAGAAGCCGCGTTTATCGTTTGTTTGCGTGTTTTGCATGTTAAGAGGTGTTAAATGTATTTATGTAGGCAACAGTGTCATTGTGTTTTGTTGACAAAATTTGGCGTTTTGCAATGCCATTAGGTAACCAGATGAAATGAGGCAGGTGATTTCTGGAGGAATAAGAAATTTATTCTCCAGTTGAGCCATGGAATTTGGTTGACTGCGGAAATAACTATCAGGAGCCATTAGGAAGGACAGTTTTCTTCTTGCCTATGTGTCAGATAACCCAGCAAAGTAAAAACGATGCCTCCTAGTTTCTCACAGCTTTTATTTGCCTGTGTGGGCAGTGGTGTTGTTTTGGCCTTTCCATTCATTCTCTGGAATCTGTGGCCATATTAGTGCAGGTACAACAAYATGGAAAAGTTCTTTGTGTGGGAAAGCCAGGAATGATCAAAAGGGTGGGAAAAATCAGCTTCAGGTATTTTCAATTCCCAAAAGCAGTTCTTGCTTTGTTTGGAGCCTCCTTGTCCCTGAGGTGGTACAAAAGGATAGGACATAGAAATCAGTAATTTTTTCTTTTCACTTGAAGTGGGAGCGTGTCAGGCATCGAGGCTCCATGGGGTCTTTTGTAAAGAAGAGGGTCAGAGTTTCACTGCAGTTGGAAGACAAGGGTTGTTTTCCTAATTACTAGACAGATGGTGGGCTGTACAGCAARGTGCAAGAGACTGTACACACTGAGCCAAGTCCCTGCAGTGGCACGTGCGAATGGACCAGCCCTGCTGCCTGTGACAGCTGTGGGGCTCCTCTGCCTCCGGGTGCTCCAAGTGTGGCGGCTTTGTCTGTCTCTGGGCCAGGCTGGATCAGCTGTTTGCAGGTGCTGCAAGAGGAGTGGTTTGGGAGTGCTTGAGGAGTGCTCTCTTGCTTTAGAGGTGAATTGGGAGAGGATGTTTGCTTCCACGTACGGGGTGTGCAGCTCTTCATGTCACAGTAATGCCAGTGGCAGTGGTGAGCTTGGAGAGCAGAGCTGGGTGTGATATATACACCTGCTCTGCACCTTGTGCTGCTCGGAGGACATGCCCTAAACCTCACCTGCAGGGTTGTGCTGGAAGATTTCTCTCTGTGCTGAGTCTTTGGCCTCTCTCCTGAGACCATTATTTGCCTGGTGGGACTGGCTGGCCACAAAGATTAAAGTCAGGAACGAGTCATCTGATATGTCAGTTATCATTAAGTTCTTCATGCTAATGSTATTAGCCTCTTCAGCATCAAAGCTAGAGCAGCTGGTTTGAGAGCAATGTCACCAAGTCTGAGATTAGATGTGCCTTACTGGTAAAAATGATGGCCAAAAATCAAATCTAGGCTGAGAATGTAGCCAAACTTTACAGCCAAATTTTAAGCTGACCAGGAAAAAAAGGATCTGATTTAAATTCTTTGTCAAAGGCTCTTGAAAGGATGGAAAAGCAGATGGAATTCAGCAGCTAGAGACTTGTCTGTGTTGKTTTTGTTCTTTCTGGAGTCATAAGCTGGAGTTGAAGGGAGAAGGGACAATGCTTTTATAAGCAAACTGAAAATACTGCACTGTATTAAATTTCTGACAGCTCCTTTAGTAGTGAGTAATGATTGTTCATATGTAGATGGACTGGGCAACTCGCTGTCACAGCACCTTGAGACTGGACTTCAGGCAGATTCCTAAAGCAGATTTGATACATAGACAGAAAAGATTTACCTAAGTTTGAAAGGAATRTTTAAAAACACTGCAGGTCCCACTGCATGCCTTATAGTATTGGAGATTGACTAGAATGAAGATTTAGCCAGTTGTTAAATACCAAAGGATGGAAAGTCACAACATTGGCAAAGTGTTATTTTGAAAGTCCTTCCGGCAGTATTTCTTATGTCTTCTCAGTAATAGCTGGCATTGGTCCCTAACAGAATCAGGGAAAGAGATTAATTTTTGATTACTGGCCTGAACATGGGAGCACCTATGCCTGTTAGGACACTCCTTGCTACAAGGCATRATTTATACTAGAAGCAGCATAAATTGCTTGTACAGAAGTGATATCGCTGATTGCAAATTTTTCCGTGAAACACCAGCTGAACTGCAAGTTTTTAACCAAGTCCTAAATCTAAACAAGCTTTGCATGTTTTCAAGCTGTGGTTTGGCTATTTARTGCATCCCCTCATGTGCCATTATGAATCTTTTATTACTTGCTGTAGTCCAAGTTGACCTCTAATGATACAGCAGAATTATTTTATTATTGCTTTCCCCACAGCAGAGTACTGCTGTGCTGGGCAGTAGCAGTGTACCTGGCTTTGCCTGAAGTAGCACCTGTCCCTGGAAACGTATCCAGAGACACAGGGAGCTTTCCTGCCTGAAGCTCAGTTTTCCAGTGTGGTGGTGTCTGAGTGCCGCAGTGAAGAATGCAGGTGTGATGTGATGCACTGGCTGGGGCCTGACATCAAAACAGRGAGACAGATCAAGGTGGCAAAACAGAGAGACAGATCAAGGTGGGGGCAGTGCCCTGGCAGGACAGAGGAGAGGAGGCAGTGGCTGCAGCTGATGGAGGCTGAGTGGTGGAAGGGAGGGTCCTGCTGTGCACAGGGCAGCTCAGTGCTCCTGTGCATCTCTGCTCTGTGGAACCACTACCTGCTCCGTGTGCTGCTCTGCTCTTCCATCACACTGCATACATAGTTCTGACCTCTTTTGCTACCAGCTGAAGGTGATTTKGTAAAGCAGCAGACAAAAGGTGTGGGAGATGAGCAGAAGTAGTGCTTATTTGCCCCTGCCTCTCACTGCTGAGCTGAGATGGGTAGAAATGGCAAGAAACAGCAAATTCTCCCAGAAGCAGAGCTCATCTGTCCACTTGATTGCTGCTTTGCCCACAGTAGTTTAACCTTCTGTAAAATCAATTGATTGTCTAGAATTTGAATGTTGGTCTGTGCTTCCCTCTTTAGTGCCTCCAGTGCTTACAGCAGAATGATTGGAAAACTGTATTTAGATAACTGACAAAATTAAAAGGTTTTTGCATTAGATTTGGAGCTGTTCAAYCTGGAGAAGGCTCTGGAGAGACCTTATAGCACCTTCCAGTACCTGAAGGAGACCAACAGCGGGAGAGTGGAAGTGGGACTTTTTGTTCTTACAATTGTAGTGATATGGAAAAGGGAAATGGCTTTAAACTGAAAGGAGTTAGATGTAAATTAGGTATTAGGAAGAAATCTTTTAYYGAGAGGGTGGTGAGGCACTGGAACAGGCTGCCCAAAGAAGCAGGAGATGCCCCCATCCTGGAAATGTTCAAGGAGGAGCTCAATGGGGCTTTGAGCAACCTGCTTTAGCGGAAGGTATGTTCCTGCCCATGATGGGAGGATTGGAACTAGAAACCAACCCAGGCCATTGTATGATTCTATGAGTTGTGCAGGCGGGGGGCCAAATCCCAATTCTCTTCAGCAAAGGACTGATGAATGCACAGATGTCTCTATGTAGTGTTTTGAAACTGCTTGAGCTTCAACATAGCTCGAGGGCAGGGGACAGGGAGGCTACTGAAAAAAAGCCACCCCTTGCTCTGAAACCTCCATCACGGTGCAGTTTGTGAGAGGTTTTCTCTGAGCGTGCTGGGTGATAGAACAGAAAAATGTTTGCAGCTACAGGTGCCTTGTCTAGACCACGGCTTCCATCACAGCACTGCATCAGCAGACCCAGTTTAGCAGCCCTGGGAAATCCTAATGGAAAAGGCCTGTGGAGGCACGCCCCTGAGTAAGGTAATCTGGGCAGCCAGCTGGGAGTATGATGTTACASTGATGAACACTACATCAAGAGATATGCGA